CTGTAGGGGTACAGTGTGACCCAGACTGGACCAGTGATCTCTGGACTGTGGGGTACAGTGTGACCCAGACTGGACCAGTGATCTCTGTTCTGGAGGGGTACAGTGTGACCCAGACTGGACCAGTGATCTCTGTTCTGTAGGGGTACAAAAGAACCCAAACTGAACCAGTGATCTCTGGACTGTTGGCTTAGAATTTTATTTATACTGTTAATATTACATATGAAGTGAAAGTCAAGGTTGCCTCAGCTAAATAAAATTCTCTGTGTTCTTCTTTGCATTGGTCATACTGCTACCATACAGCTAAGCTTGAAAAGTGCCCTGGGTGGAGTTACTTCTGCCGCTATGTAGTGAAAATGTAGTGCTGGGAACAATCATAATGTTTGGTTTAAGGGAGTTAGTGGATTGGGGTCTGTAACACTGTGTTAACACTCAGAATGCTGCTGTTGTGCCCGGAGCAGGATGCCTCTGTCAGATTGCTCCATGAAATGCGTTGCTCTGGAAATGGGCAACAGTCCAAACCTAACAAGCTAGATGGGTCACATGCCTTCCAGTTGTTGTCATATTTCCTTTTATTAAACAATGGAAATGCAATTCAAGGGATTAGTTCTATGATTATTTTGTAACGATACCCACAGCGTAGCACATAACTGATTCCATCAACTCCCTGTCTCGTTCCTGTGTGGGACTTTATGAGCAGGACGTCAATACAGATTCACTGGGCCGGCAGTCAGAGGTCAGAGCCTTAGACTGGCGTTTCTTCTCTACTACCCTGAGCTTCAGACTGTAAATAGCAGTAAATACGAAATAGTAATAGTAAATAGCACTCCGAACTAAGTGAGTTTATTTGCCATTTGTAAGAAGCACACTGGAATTCTTGTTTGGGCTTGTTTTCTCAGTGCACAGACAGGTGAAAGCAACAGTAAACACGATAAGTGAGAAGTGCAAAGAGACAGTATCATCTTCTAATCAAGATCCATTATAGAAAACAATATACAACTTACAGGAGCCCCGATAAAAGGTTTAGCATTTGTCTTGGAGGAAAAAAAACAGAAGAAATGTCTCCTGTGACACAAGAATACGATTAGCATTATCACTCCATCAAGGGTTATCAGCCTTCCTGTGCTCAGTGTCACGCAGGTTAACGACCGGCTCTAACACAGGTCCACAGACCGCTCCTTGTCTTCAGTACAGCCTCTGTGTTCTCAGTTTTTTGTTCTATCTAAGCTCCTATTCTCCATCAAAACGAACACTGATTGCTTAAACGTTTCGCTTGCCTGTTTCAGAGCAGCCAAGTTGTTTCCAACAACCTGAGCAGACAGAGCTCCATCCCCCCTCTTATTGAGACAGAGGCAGTGAGGAGCTCTGTGATCGCTGCAGTAACTGCAGGGCCTGGACACGAGTGGGCCTGACTACAGTTAATATCCCAGCCGTCCAGCCCTCCACCCTTCACTGACAGCACATTCTTCACCGATCCTGCTTCTCTCCTCCTCACGCCTTCCATTCCCTCTGTCTTCTGTCCACTCTGTCCCCTGACCTCACTGCAGTAGCTCAGCGCTGCCTGGAGAGAGAGGTGACAGGGAGGATGTGATCGGCGGTACAGGGTGTGAGCCTTTGGCCACACTGTTGCTCCTCTTGGTGTGAACCTCAGAAATGTCCATTTTTTCTTGTGTTGTTGCAGAACTGGATTCCGAAGATATTTCAGAAGAGAGCTTGCACAAACTTTATAGAAGACACTTCCAGGTTAGAGAATTGGGAAGACTTTTCTGAACCAATATTGATTGTAGTTTTGTTTCAAAGGAAAACCAGACACTGTGGCTTCTCAGTCTGTGGGTTGTGGACTGGGCTGCTCTCTGCATGGCTTTTGCACTTTTTCCCCAGGTCTGTGTAGGTCTTGGCTGAATGATCTGGTTTCCTACCACAGACAGGCTGGTCTCTTTAAATTATCCCTGTGCACCTTGTGATGGACAGTCATCCTGTCCAGGGTGTAGGCCTAGCTGGTAACCCAGCAAGAATGAGTCAGTGTGTCTGTAT